CTAAAATTAAATATTTTACTTAGAAAATATATAGCTAAAATTAATATATAAGTTTTTATTAAAAAAATTAAACTTTTAAATAAAAACACAGACAAATTTGCCTGTGTTACAATTTAAGGAATAAGTTTTAGGAAAAATCTAACTGGTGCCCCAGCAAAATTAGCCTATAATAAGAATTAAAATTAAATTAATATTAAAAATTAAATTTAAAATTAAATAAAATTGTGAGAAGAACATTTTTGCTTAGTTATACAACAGAAGATTACTCTAGTAAAATTTTGAGATATTAGTAATTTTGTAATTAAGCCTGCAATAAGGTTAGAGTTAGGTTAGGGTTAGAATTTAGGTTTAGAATAGTGTAAAATTATAAGAGAACCATTTTTACTTAGTTACAAAATAGAAATTACTCTAATAAAATTTTGAGATATTGGTGATTTTATGATAGGTGGTACAAAGTGCATGGGGCACTGACTAGTCCAGTTCTAGTTTTATTAATAGTATATATAAATATAGTATACCTATTAATAGCTTAAATTGGATTGAACATACTTACTGTTTTATTATTATATAATATATTGTAAGTTCTAATATATTTTATATTAGGATCTATTGTGGACCTATGAACCTAGGTTCTAAAATTAAAACCCAGTCTTTAAAGACCAGGTCCCAAAACCAAATCTAGAGTCCTGGACTTAAAGACTTTACCATCTCTATCTATAATATTTTCAACTAATTAAAAATTTATATTATATTAATAATCAACACAACAATAAAACATAACAATAGATTACAAAATTTTTTTTTATTATCTTATGTTTATTATTTTTTAAATAATTTAAAATTTAAGAATAAAGCATATAGAAATCTTTTGCTCTTTTATTTCTAATAAAACCATTCCATAAAGTTTGAATGTCTAGTAATTGTTTTTCAATCTCAATCTATAAAAAGAAAAATTAATTTTAAAATAAAAAATTTAGATTAGAATTTTTTTTAAAAAAATACTATTCTTAAAAATTAAAAAATCAACTCACATTAGCTTCTTTAGGCTTTTGATTTAAGATTTCTAACAAAGATTTATCTTTTGTTTCTTTAATCCACATAACTTTTATATTTAGACAAAATGGAAGTTATTTTTATTTTTTAACAATAATTGATTCATAATTTTTTCCAATATATATACAAAAAAATGAATAAGGTTGAGATCATATGTCTTGTACATTCTATAGTAATCAGTAGTGGATTGCATTTTGAATATGTATTAATGTTTACACATGATGCATGATGTCAATTATTTTACTAATTTAGTACATAATGCAGTGAAGGGTCACCTCCCATTGTTGATTGGATGATTATATTGCTATTTAACTTACAGAATTTGACAAAAATTGATCATACCCACTCCAAAATTCATCTTAAAATAAAGATCACACTTATAAATATCCGATTTACAAAACTTTAATATAGTAGAAGTTAGAAAAAAGTATAGAAATTTTAGAGTATATTTTAAAAAGTAGGTGTAAAAATATCAAAAGAAAAAAGCTTTGCATCCGATTTTCCATCGTTCATAAATGAGTTCTGCCAAGAGAATCCCATAAATTATTGTTAGGTACACGTAACCTTCTAACGTTAGCAATCGGAGTTGAAGTCCGTATCGTTTTCCAAACGTAATACTACGTAATTATTACGTATTACAGGCTATCGGAAAAATTTTGTCCGGATTTGGTGTACAATCTATTTAATCTACGACTCAAATAACAATTTCTAAATTGCAGAATTGTGCTTATATCACAAAGGAACAGGGGGGAACCGTTGATACGTCACAAAATCGTTACACAATTGATGAAAAATTTTTTTATATTATTTTACAATACTTTTTTAGAAGGCTCGCTTGACTTATCTTTTCTATGAATATTGAAAATTGTTAAACAAACATGAAGCTCTCACTTTGCTTTACAACATATTTTTTGAATCCCTTTGAATCCCATGGTTTCATCTTTTTGTAAATTTCGCAATTTGATTGGTTGACTAATCCTGTAGTGATATTTTGACTGGTCGATACAATGAGTGATCTGTGTAACGGAGAATGAAAATCATATCCATATTTGGACGGTTTCTCCTGTTTCACAAAGGTGCTAGTGAAATAAAATTAAGGAGATGAAATAGTTTCAAACTAATTGTCCTCTCTCAAATTTTATCCGATAAAATTAATAAGATATATCTATCACAATGATTTTCGAAAAATTTCACCCTGATGAAAAATACACAACTCGAATTAAGAATATTTTAACTGAATACCCAGATGGATCCCAAATCCTTAGAGAAGTTTTACAAAACTCCGATGATGCGAAAAGCACTGTTCAAATTTTCATTTTGAATCATAAAACCTATCCTTCTGAAAAGTTGTTTGATTCAAAACTTAAAAGATATCAAGGTCCTGCACTTTTGTCTGCTAATGACACAATCTTTCAACCAGAAGATTTTAAATCTTTGGTTAGTTTGGCAAACAGCGAGAAAATAGATAAATATGATAAAATAGGAGGTAAATCATTACGTAATTTATTTATAAAAGACAATCAACGGAATTAATTATAATATTTATCGAATTTGTTCATTTATATTAGTTATGGGTATCGGGTTCAATTCGATTTTTCATATCTCAGATGTGAGCTCAATTATTTCCGGATCATCTTACGTTCTTATTGATCCTCATGAGCGAAGATATTGTGAAATGGAAGCTGGTCAGAGGGGTTTCAAGACCGACTTCTCAATAAATGACATGCTCAATGTAAATACAATTTATAAATATTAATCAGTTGTATTTCGTGATGGCTATTCAATAATCATTTAAACTTTATATTTTATTTATTAGAATTCTGATCAATTTGAGCCTTTTTTGGTTGACTTCATAAGTTCAGAATTGATTAAGAAGGTAAAAATTTATATATTAAAGTTCAAAGCGGCTTAAAGTTAACTTGATTTATCGGCAGTTATTGTATATAAGTATGCTTGCCAAATTTGGATTTAGAAATTAGGATGATTTTATTATAATTCTCTGCAAGTATAGTTACGTGAATGGAGATTCTAAGTCGAACAAATTTTTTAATTAAACTTCAATTAATATCTCAACCACAAACCAATTTGATAAATATTAAATTTGAATTTGTATTTGTTGAAGTTTTAAATTTTTTAAAAAATTGATAAGAGTGATTTGTCTCCTTTCAATTACACCTAATATTTTTAAACCGCTTTTTTATCATATTTTCCGCTCAAAATTACGGTGTTATTGATACCTATTTTTTATTTTTTTTTCTCATTAATTAGAATCCTTATCAATTCGATGATAAACCAGAAGGGTTTCATAATGGAACAATATTTCGATATCCGCTTCGAACTTCTAGGGATGCAGAGGAATCAGAGATTTCCAATAAACAATACAGCACTGAAGATATAAAGGAATTGTTTAATGTCTTTTTCAAAGTTGACAATATTTCTTGTCTCCTGTTTTTGAAGCATATTGAAAAGATTTTATTCTTTGAACTTAAAGAAAATGAAGATAAGCCTGAACTATTGTATGAAATTGGAATTGATAATATGAAGCAAATAATTCATGAAAGGGAATTGTTAACTAAAAATATGATATCAATGATGACATCTCCAACGGGTCAAGATTCTTTTGAAACTATTTATGAAATGAAGTTTTCACAAAAAGCTAAGCGTATCAATAACAAAAGCGAATGGTTAATTGTTAACTATATCTCTAGCACGAATGATGAAAAATATATTAAATTTAAAAATCATATTCGTGATTGTAAATTTGTACCAAGCGTCGGATTAGCTGTACGAATTGATAACGTGGCTAGAAATAAAGGGAAGCTCTTCTGTTTTTTACCATTACCTGGTGATTATGATGACTTTTCTGTTTCGATTAATGGTTGCTTTGCAGTCAGTAAAAACAGAAGACATTTAGAGATTTCAATGGATGAAGATCTGGTACTATAATAATTAATATTTTTTTTGATTTCTCATTTAGTTGTAATATTTACAAATGATTTTTTTATTTTTTTTTTTTATGAATTCTAGGTGCAAGGTGATTTATTACGTCTTAAAGGTGCATGGAATAGATATTTATTTGAAAAGGCTATCCCTGAAGCATGGAAGAAACTTTTAACAGAAATAATAAAAATAAAAAATAAAAATGTTTCACACGAAAACATTTATACGTTTTGGCCATTACCAGTTGATGGATCCTCTCAAGAATTCGACACTAAAAATTGTTTATGGAGAAATCTCTTACAAGATCTTATTAATCTCCTCGAGCCTAATCTTCAAGTTTTTCGTGGTCCTTCAGGGTACTTATCAATGAATGATGGGTATTTAAATGACAAAAATTTCTGCAAATCATCAAATCTATCAAAGATATTGGAAAAGTTAGGATTTCCTATCTTTGTAAAAATTCCAGAATCAATCGTAGCAAAATTAGAGAAATCTTTAAATTACAAGAATATTTTAAAATATATTACGCCAGAAAAAGTATGTGATTATCTTAAGAAATCGGACAGACCACTTCTTGATCGTCTTGATCGTCAGAAAAGGTTAATTCTATTGGAATATATTCTTGAAGTGAATGATGTCTCTAATCTCCATGGGATTCCATTGCTTCCAGTCGAAAATAAGGTCTTTACAACTTTTGAATCAAAAAATAATCCTGAAAAAATTTTTTACATTACTAGCAAAAATGAGCATAAACTTATCAATGAAAAACATTATGAATCAATCATTGATAACGAAATTGATGATAAACTTTTATCAAAATTAAAATCTTATGCAAAAAGTGAAAAAGATATTAATATAAAAATTCTTTCAGAAATTCAATTTGTGAAGATTCTTAAGAGTTCATTGGAAGGATATTCTGAAAATTTTCAAGAAATTCCAATTGGAAAAAACAAAATCGAATGGATATATAAAATTTGGGATCATTTGCTACAAACCAACAGAAATTTATCAAATTTTGAAGACCTTCACCTTTTACCAATCAAAAAAGATTATGAAATTCTCTTGAGGAAATTAAAAACAATACCAAAATGCTTATGCCATTCACTACGCCATCAAATGATTGACGATATATCAATTAATACTTTGACACAAATATTCGAATTTTTAGGCTCTACCTTTATAATTAATGATTTTGAAAAACAAATTGTTTCAAAATATCCAAAGTGGGTTTATTAAATAATTTACGACAGGGTGAAACCTGAGTTGCGAGATAGTGAATTCATCACATGAAAGTGAAATTCGCTTTTTATATAATAAAAAATGATAATAAAACGCCGATTTCACATTTGCAAATCAGTTTTCATCCTGTTATAATATCTTTATTTTAACTATATAAAATTAAACGTATTGGTTGCATTATTGTAGGCTTAAAAATTATTTAATTGAGCTCGACAATGTTACAGCGGTCTTATTATCTCTCGGAGAAGATCAGTCATTTCCACGCAATGTCAAAGAATCTAAACTTAGCTATTCTGAAAAAAATTTTTTGGTTAAATACATGGGAACTTATTTGCAGCGTGAATCTTATTTTGACGTCAAGCTAATAGAAGTGATAAAATATTTTCCAATTTTTACCAAATTAAATGATAAGCAAATTATAGACATCAATTCGATATCTAGAGCAGAACATTATTTACTTCCTAAGGAAGATGAAAAATCAAGTGGGCGTATTATTTCGCATTGCACATTTCTGGAAACTCATACTTCTAATGATATTAGTTTTCTTCTCGAAAAAGTTCTAAAAATTAAACGATTAGACCAAAGAACATATTGGAAAGATCATGTCATTAGACATTTAAATAAGCAAACTCCTGATATTCAAGATGAATTGGTTAAAAAGCTTTTTCAGAGATGGGAGGTTACAAGTCTATTTCGAAGTGACCTTTCAAAAATATCATTTGTTTCAACATCATCAAAAAGAAAAAAACCAAATGAAATCTTTGATCCTAATAACTCACATATTAAAGATTTATTCTTTTCGAATGAATCATTTTTTCCTACTGGAATGTATTTAAACAATCAAGATTATCTTCATAAATTACGTCAACTAGGGATGAAAAACTCAATGACTATAGAGGATTTAATTAATCGATTAGATACTTACGCAAGAAGTAATACCAGTGATCGATATTCTAAATCTCTTGAACTGCTAAAATATATTGATGATAATTATCATGATTCGATAAATGATTTTTCATTTCGCAAAGAAATACAAAATAGAGTGTGGATTCCAGCTTTAAAAGAAAATAAAGAAAAAACATTTTCAAAAGCTTCAGAATGTAGAGATAAATTGCATCAAAATTTGGTTTCTTATATAATGCCAATAGTTCAATATCAAATCAAAAATAATAATTTGCGTCAAATTTTGGGATGGAATAATGATCCGCCGGTAATGAAAGTAATAGAGCAATTATTATATTTAACAAATTTAATAAGTCAAAATAGTTCTTATTATGACATAGGAAATCAAATTTATAAAATTTATGATCATTTAAACAATGTTGTTAAAAATTCAAGTTACGATATAAACCTTTGGAAAAGTAAATTATCAGGGAAAAAATGGATTTTTAATGATGATAAACTTTATACAACCGATGAAATTGTGTTTTCTTCTATAGTTAAAAGTGATATGGTTACACTTTCAAATCACAATAAAAATAATTATTCAAAGCTTTTTAATGAACTTGGAGTTAAACACGAACAAGATTATTTTAAATTACTTTCAACTTATGAATTTTCGGGTAAAACGCAAAAAACCATAATTGATATGATTGAACATTTATCTCATACTGAAGATGAAAATAAATTAAAAGAATTATTAATTCCAAACATGAATGGAAAAATGGTCCCTTGCAAAGAATTATTTTATGATGATATGGATACAAGAGCTAAAGATTCAGATAAAGATTTTAATATTATGGCACATTCGTCTATTTCAAGAGACATAGCAAAGAAATTAAAACTTAAAAATTTTAGTGAAGCATTCTTAAAAGATAAAATCGATCTTGTTCGACAAAATGAAAATGTAACTGCAACCTTTTTAAAAACTATTCTCGAAGTATGTATTATAATTATTTTTACTATTCATTATTTTTTAAAATTTTTTTTATTAAGATCATTTGAATGAACGCATTTACAGAAATTTGATCTTGAGGAGATTGTTTTCCAAGAATTTCTCAAAAACGCGGATGATGCAGGAGCAGAACAATTTTGCATTATTCTTGATGAATGTAGATATCCATCTAAATATTTAATAAAAGAAGATATGGAAAGTTGGCAAGGACCAGCAATATGGATATATAATGAAAAAGAATTTTCTTCAAAAGATCTCGAATCACTTAACGACATTGGTAGGAGTACCAAAGGACCTGACGAAATTGGAAAATACGGTTTTGGGTTTGCATCATGTTATAATTTTACCGATATGCCACAAATAATATCAGGATGGAAGATAATATTTTTTGATCCACAAAGAAAAATTTTTTCTGACAAACAATGTTATGGCTCTATATTTGATTTTGAGGATTATAAAAAGGAGGAAAACCACATAATGAAAATGTTTAAAGATCAGTTTGAATCTTATCTAAAACTTGAAGGGTGTGGGTTCAAAGTTGATTTTAACAAAAAATTCAATGGAACATTGTTTAGATTACCACTCAGGACAGTTGAAAGTCCAATTTCTGACAAAATCTATACCGCGCAAACTAGTGTTGATATTATCGATCATATTGAGAAATTATTAGAAGTTGTAAAGAAAGATGCAATTTCAGAACTGATTTTTTTGCGTAAAGTGAAATCCATCAAAGTATTTAGAAAAAGGTGTTTAGATAATGTAATGAAGCCCTTATGGGATGTTGAAATTAAAAAAATATCTACTGGCAATCGTAAATCACTTGGAAAAGAACCACAAGTACTTAAGCTTGATGTTCAATATAATGAATTTGTTGACTCATACAGCGAAAACAGTATTTCAAAAACAGTCAAATGGCTTATATGTGCAGCAGAAAAAGATAATAAAAACTTATGGAATGCGATTGCAGCAATTATTCCTGAGAAACAGAATGAAACCATTTTTAAAAGAATATTCAATTCGTATCGGAATAAAAAAATTTTCAATGGAAAATTTTATTCGTATCTTTCACTTTCAAGCTTTTCAGAACTTCCCGTCATTTTACATTCAAACGGTTGGGAACTTTCATCAGATCGAAGAAGTCTTGCACAAAATAATGAGAATAATACAAATATTTTAAATAATATTTCCCAACTTCATGTAAAACTTTTTGAAGAGTTTGCGAAAATTGGGCAGCAAGAGAATGAAAACTATCAAATTATTTCTCAATTCTGGCCAATTCCAAAAATCGAAAATGATACATTTAAAATTAAAGAATATGGTCAAAAGGTATTGGAATATTTATGTAAAAAAAATTCCGAGATATTTTGGTCACCATATAATAATGGTAAATACGTTAGCTTAAAAAATAGTGTCTTTATAAATGATGAAACGCCAGAAAATATTTTAAATTTTCTGAATGAACATGATCACCCTACAGTAAAAATTAAACCCGAACATCAAAATGAATTCAAAGAAAAAAATGGATATCGGCAAGTTAATCCTCAACTTGTTCGAAAAATCTTAAAAAATGATGAATCTATATTAGATGATTCGGATTTATCATTACCTGAACAGTTTTCTTTGTTGAGATATATTCTTGAAGATAAAAACTATAAAGATCTTGAAAAAATTTCTTTAGTTCCATTATTTAAAAATAAATTTGGAAAGTTTGCAACCGAAAAAAATTATAATATCGCTACATTAGAAGAGCTAAATTTATTTCCAAAAGCTGGATTAGAATACTTCATCCCTGATGATCTATTACACGTAAAATCGTATGATTTGCACACTATCTTTTATAAAGATGAATTTCTCAAAGCTACAAACATTCAAAAATTTGATGAATCAACAATTAGACGTTTTCTACAGCAAGAGTTACCTCCTATATCAGAAAGAGATTGGAATCCATTAAGTTTAACAATTCCAAATAAAAAATGGCTTGATGAAATATGGTCTAGAATCTTAAATCATTCACTAGCACCATATAGACCTTTTCCCTTATTAGAAGTATACGACCCAAATAAACAAGACCAGCACCAGTTGATTAGTTTAGAAAATGCAGCATGTAAACCTTTATTAGTCTACCCAATTTATTTCGAATACAAATTTGATATAATTCAGGCATTGACAAATATCGGCATTCGATTTACTAAACATAAACATGATGAGGCACTCAATAATTATATTAAATTATTAAATCCAGATAATATATTAAATGTTATTGGCAAATATCAGTGCATTGAAAATCAACTTATTAATAAGAAAGAAGATATAGAGAATCTATGCCAATATTTTACTGCGAAATTGTCTCCGTCAGATTATCAAGGGTGTATTATTAATAAACAGATATTTGCACAATTGCCTATATGGTCAATACATACTTTAGATTCCGAAAATCCAGTATTTAAATCAATTTCAGATCCTAATACATATCTGGTGCCTTCAGGTAAAAACTCATGGAGACCATTCACATTTTTTCCACAAAATCAAAATGGAACTTTTTATTATAATGTAACATACGAGAGCCGAAAATTATTAGAAGCTGCAGGTGCCAAAATACGAAATAGGTTAAACTATTATAAAGAAGTTTTTGTTAAAGATATGAAAGAGATTCTTCCCTATCAACGAAATTTTTACTCAGAACTTTTAATTGAAATGCTAAGTGATACTGAAAACCTTGATAAGATTAAACCTTATATAAAGAATTTAAAAATTTTTCCAGATGAAAAATATCAACTTTATGTTGCAAGAGATTTAAATGATCAAGACAACCAACTACTTCAAATTATTTATAAAAGCTCCAATCGATTTCTTCCTAAATGCATTCAAAGCAATCAAGATTGTTTAAATGTGCTCGAAGAATTAGGATTTGTAAGAAAAGTTACACCAGACATTTTTATCGAATGTGTCAAGCATATTCGAAAATTGTTTAATGACCGCAAGGATAATATGATTAAATTAGATGATCTTAAGTATTTAGGAAGAACTGCTCTTTACTATTTTTATAACAATCAATCTACATTAAAATTTTCAGAATACGAATGGGAGGAATTGTCAAAAATCAAATTCGTTCCGACCTCAAAGAACTTTTTAAAATATCCGTACTCATATAGTAGTAACAACCATATGGATGAGTTGGAATGTTTTGAAAATTTATGTCTTTCAAAGTACAAAAATTTCGCATGGACTCAATTAGCATTTTTTGAAATTGAACCGACTGAGGAGGTTATAAAAAATTATGAGAACTTTGGTCTACCGACTGTTTCAACTATTGTTAATCATTTAACAACAATTCAATCCACAGTATCTAAAAAATCTGAAAATTGGGAACAGAGTGGTAATGAATTATTTGATATAATTAAACAAATTTACGAAAAATTAGATTCACTATGTATTGAAAGAAGTGATGATCTAAAATCGTACTTTTCGGATGACCCTTCACTCTTTTTAAATGGTACAAACCCATTCGAATCAGAAATCTGGACTCCTGCTTCACATCTAGATATAAACATTAAAAAGGATTTTAATCCAGACAGAAAAGCTACCGCAGAATATCTTAAAAGCTATGAAAATCTTTTAATTTTAGCTGGCGCAAAAAAACGAAAATTTCCGGAGAATGAGAGATTTAAAGATTTTGAAGAAAAAAATACACAGCATTTAACTAATTCAATGATTGGTTCTTTATGCATTGGAGAAAACACAAATAAACTTAATGATGTATCATTTAACGTTAATGGGCAAAAATTTCATGCAAATTTAATGATATTGAGTTGTGCAGCATCGTACTTTAAAAAAAATAGTTTTGTTGAAGATGATGTCAACCCAGATTCATTCAATATTTTGTTACGATGGTTATATGGTGAATCACTATCTCAAGCTATAAATAACATTGGGAAAAAGGAGTATGCTGATGATTTTATTCAAATTTGTGGTGATTTGTTAAAATTAGCAATAAAAATTGAACTTGAATCACTTAAACAGTTGATTGAGCATAAATTATTTACTCATCTTGATATTAATTTGAATGAAAATATTCTTAAAAAAGTGAAGTCTCTGGCTAATGAATATGAATTATTTGATCTTTCAGATTATTGTGATAAGTTTGAAAGGGAATACTGTTAAATTTATTATGATTATCTGATATATATATATATAAATTCATTAGAATGTAGCATTTTATATTAGTTACCGATTTTTTTCAATTATATTGTATTTTTATTAATAATAAATTTATATTGTATTTTATTAATAATAATAAATTTATATTGTATTTTATTAATAATAATAAATTTATATTGTATTTTTATTAATAATAAATTTATATTGTATTTTTATTAATAATAAATTTATATTGTA